CCCCAAAACCCCAAAACCCCAAAACCCCGTACTAAAACAGAGCTATTGAAATCTCCATTATTCATCTCTTTTCCAATTAAAGCCCTTCAACGATCATATTGATCATTCCATTCTCCTGTAATATTGACTCAGCTTGATCTTTAGACATTCCACAGTTGCCCAAATGAATACTAACTTGTCTATTCTTAATACTCTCCACTTTGGCCAACCCCTTCACAATATTTTTAAACTGTTCAAACCCATTTTGAGCCCAATTGCTCCTCTCACTCCTCCCAGTACCTTCAAAATCAATGTTGGTAAAAGCAGCTTGGTCAAGTCTGCCTCCAAAATCCACTTCCTCCCCTACATCTATCTTACAGTCCCAAAACTTGACATAGTCTGCCTTCTGCGCAGCCACGAGGAGGTCTTGGAACTGGGAGCTGGCCATCGTCCAGTCGGCAAGTTCAACTCTGGAGGGGATGAGGGGGAGGGTCTTGGTCAGAGTGTCCATGTAAGGACTTAGGTCAAGGCAGGAATTAGTGTTAGTGTTGAAGTAGAAGTATTTCACATTCTCGCTCAAGGCGTTACCCAGGAACTTAGTTATCACCTCAGGCTTGTTGAAGGCATGAATGTCCCAAAGAGAAAACTTCTTCAGAGGGGGCAGTCTGAATAACTGCAGAGCCTTCAGTAACTCTTGACTATCAGTAGTGTTCACTCTAATTGTAAATTCTGAGTCCTCATTGAATGAATCCGAAGCCTTCATCATGGCATTGTGAATTGCCTTTAACCCAGCGTGGTCGAGAGTGTGCTTGGATTGCTGCAAAGTGTCCTCGAGAGCGAGAATCTCGTGTTTCATTTCTTCGGCCTGTCTGTTGTGGTGCTCTTGGTCTTCTTCAAATGTCTGGATTTGTTGGGTGAGGCTGTCGATTTCCAGTTGTCTTTGCGCCGAAACTTGTTCGGAGTTATCCTTCTCTTGTGTCAAAGTCTGAACTGTCTGATCGAGCTCTTCCCTGTCTTGCTCCAGTCTTTCCAGCTGAGTATTCTTCTCTCTGTCTCTCTGAGCAGCTCTTCTGAGTGCCTCTTTGAGGGGATTGACTTGTGTAGCAGTAATAGTCTCCTGGATTTCATTTACTTTGTTGCTGACAACAGCCTGGGAGCCATCACTGACAAAGGTTCTGCACCCTCTTGTCTCTCTGAACTCCGCACAATGAAGTTGCTTGGTGTAGTTCTTCATCAGTCCAGAGTTGAAGAGTGAATTTATGACGTCTTTGATTTCAAAGTGGATGTCCACTAGGTGCTCCCAGTGGTTGCTCTTCTTAATAACTTTGAGTTGTTCTATAGAAGTAATAAGTCGTGCTTTGAATAGGAATTATAAAGTTTGAACTATTAAGTTGGTAAGTTCTGATGAAAGATAATACTAATGCGGTAATATTGCAATAAGTTATAAGTCCAAGGAAACGCAAGAAATTTTATAAACAATTAAAGCTTCATTATCTAGATCTACTTACCCTTGAGTTCATCACAAGTGGTCTTGAAGCCTTCAAGTTGTGGCAACACTGTATGCCATGCTTGATCCAATCCGTGTTCGATCTTGAAGAACTCGATTTTCCTGACATTATAGTCGGCTTTAACCAAGAATTAGAAGATCCATGAATCAAAAATTATAGAAAGAAACAAGACATTTTTATAAATAGTTGGAACTAGATATGTCGAAATTATTAAAAGACTAGAGCCCAAGGAACACCAGGAGCATGCGGTCTTCGTGCTCCTGCTCTCTTACCAAGGTTCAGAGACTCTGTAATGACGTCAATATCAGGAATGGGTTCTGAGTCTTGATCTGAATATGTTGTCATCATGCAAAGAGAACAGACAAGCAGGTTTTTCTCCAGAGTGTTTGTGTCAGTCTTCCTGATCATGTAAGAGACTCTGTCTCAGTCAGGAGAGGACTTGCACTTTGGTAGTGCTCTCATTTTATTTTTAATATTATAAATTTATTTTAATTTGCTCTTTATATTCGCATCAACACGTGTCGTCTTTTCCGGGGTTTTGGGGTTTTGGGGTTTTGGGG